TTCTGCTGGCCGCTACCTCTCCCCCAGAGGTTTGTCTCCTACATCCCTGACGATGGTGCGGCCTTCCTGACATAGACACTGTGCTCTTCAGGTGTCCCATCTGCGCTGGCCACTGTGGGCAACCCTCCCCTACAATGATTGTCTCCCTGCTTGTTCAGAAACTAGAGCAGCTCTGGCCTGGGAAAACCAGCACATTTCTTTGTCATTCAGTGGGTTGCAACCATACCTTCTCCAGTAAGGTCTGAACCCCAGCCTTGGAGGAGAACTCCCTCAATAGAAGTTTGTCCTTCCTTCCTTGGATATTTTCCCCCAGCCCTAGGGTAACTTTATCTTAAACTTACTCTTTTATCATAGCCTAATTATTCTTTTTTAAAAATATTTTATTTATTTGACAGAGAGAGAGAGAGCACAAGCAGGGGGAGTGGGAGAGAGAGAAGCAGGCTTCCCACTGAGCAGGGAGCCCGATGCAGGGCTTGATTACAGGACCCTGGGATCATGACCTGAGTTGAAGGCAGATGCTTAACTGACTGAGCCACCCAGGCACCCTAGCCTAACTATTCTTAATACTGTACTTACTCTTCTTAAATCATGGTGTGGTTTCGGCCTCGCGGCAGCCGCCCCCTCCCACACAGTCACACTGAGCTAGTACCCGGGCCTGGAATTGGGCCGCAACCTCAGCCGTGCTTGCCACCTGCCACCGCCTCTGGTCCACGGACCCCCGCAAAGTGAACGAGCTTCGGGCCTTCATGAAAATGTGTAAGCAGGATCCGAGCGTTCTGCACACCGAGGAAATGCGCTTCTTGCGGGAGTGGGTGGAGAGCATGGGAGGTAAAATACCACCTGCCACTCATAAAACTAAATCAGAGGACAATATCAGGAAGAAAAAACAGATAGTAAGAAGGCGGAGGAAAACATAAAGACAGAGGAACCATCAAGTAAGGAAAGTGATCTAGAAATTGACAATGAAGGTGTGATTGAACCCGATACTGATGCCCCTCAAGAAATGGGAGATGAAAATGTAGAGATAACCGAGGAAATGATGGATCAGGTAAATGATAAAAAAGTGGCTGCCAGAATTGTGCAAGACTGTTGAATCTCAGATCTGTACCCCTGAAGCAAATAATACATTATATGTTAAGAAAAAAAAAAAGAAGAAGATAGCAGGAGGGGAAGAATGAAGGGGGGGAAATCAGAGGGGGAGACGAACCACGAGAGACGATAGACTCTGAAAAACAA